CATGACAACTTTTTGAGTTCCTCACAATATCGGGAGCATTCCACACAGCAGCCATTCAATGCTTTCAACAAGTCTGCGTTTTCACGTGAAATCCCGGAGGAATGCATCCGCGCTCGTACACCTCGTAACGAAATGTCTAGCAAAATGGAACCTCTACGCTCATCTACGGTCATGGGAAATATGGATCATGACGGAGATTACATTCGAAAGGACGAGAATGTAGGTTACGACGTGGTTCATAATCGGTCGCCTTACAGTAACAGAATTTTTAACAAGGAGCCAGTCTACGGACAGAGTTGCGAACAATCGTACAGTAGTGAAAATCTTCTCAAAAGAAGACCTTGCTCCAGCACATCAGTTTCTACGAGATTTGGTGAAGTGCCACGGGAAAACGAGAGATATGCTGGCATTTATGGCGACAGTCATTATCGTCCTGGAAATGATTCACATCATGACGATGTTGCCGCTTATGGTGGAACAAGCGGTTACCCTCCATCTCCCCACAATGATGATTGCTACAGGAATCCTCCTCGCCATTCGAGTGCAGCTCACGATGGAAAAAATTATTATGACCAGAGAAAGGAGCAGTATTCTCAAGGCGATGACATTCATGGTATCAATAGAGCGAGAAACAACGTGGAACAGGAGTATCAGCTGCAGGAAAGGTTCCCTTTTCGCTACTAAAGTGGTCTATTGTTACAGTGCAATTTTTGAAGAACAAGTTAATTATCAGTTTACTTAACCAAACGAATAGAGAACTTCTCATATTCTGCAGCCACCTTGCTACATTGGAGACTACACTAGTAAACCGCAATCCTACAATACTCTGTGTAAATTCAAGAAAATTTTTCTAATAGAAACATGTTCTTTTTTAGTTACCGCAAGCTTAAAGATGTTGAATTTCTGTCTGGGAGGAAATCCATATTTTTAATACAGACCATGATTAACTTTTGGCGCTAGATTAGCAATTAGGAGGTTGTTTAAATTTTTAGTCAGATGATTATGTCCATTTTTCATAAAGAGAACCCTCGTCATGGACTCACAACCAGGGTGGTCGCTACGTAGCGCAGGCTTCAGAGATGGATCGCAATAACGGCAGTTATCCTGATGGGTACCTAGTTATT